CAGCTTTCGCCAGTATCACGCCAATAGACGTTCGTAAACCAAATCAGTCCATCAAAACCTAAACAATAGATGCTGAACGGGCACTAGAACCACAGAATGATTGATCACTACCTGAGTGCACTTAATTGACAGTGATTGAACAGTTTTAGAACATAACCAACTTACCAACTCTACACACCAATCATTTAAATACCTTGGCAGTATAATTTTAAAGTTGAAATTTGATTGACAATTTATTTGATTTGTAACTTAGGTAGATCCAAGATCAAGGTAAAAATAAAAGATAGAATAAATCAATGTTCTAATAATATCCTTAACTTATACAAAATATTGACAAAATAGTCTCAATACTCAATATATTTATTGCATTCCACAATGTTTACTTAGATGGTAACTTAAATATAAGATCAGGTTTAAGTTACCATCATCATGGACCCTGTCGGGCACAGCAATAGATGAGAGAGGGGGAGATAATACAAACTAAAAATAATAATCATACTTCAGTTTTTTATGTACATGCTTAATTTATTGATTGCGAATTCGTTCAACTTCAGTAGTTTTTTCCTTTTAAGTATTCATTGATGCTGTAATAGCATTCTTGTAGTAGTTAATTGTTTTAATCCATTTATATATATTTAATATGGTTTCATTTCTAATTTCTTCGGGTAAGTTATTGTAAATTTTTTATAGACATTACTTGAGTGCTATTTGAATAAATTTGGAGTCGGGATGAGGGTAGGTTTAGTCTAGTCCGATTAAAAATACGGAGTGTTACCACCCCATTCATCCTATGAGTGTCGTCAGAGCCTACTAAACAAAAGCACTGCAAAAAGAAGAAAAACTTGAAACAACTCCTATATATAGTTTGGCCATCCTGGTAAAGTAGGCCAAACCCTTCTTTCTAAGGAGAGCCTCATGTCCAGCAGTGGACTATCAAAAGCTGTTGATAATGATAAGGCGCATTAAAGTAGGTGTTTTTTTTTTAAGATATTGTTTTCTTACACTTGATAATATTTATGGCAGGATACACATATCTTTAACAAAAAGTCATATTAAAACGACCTAAGCGTCACCAAAAGTAACAGGTGATTAAATTTATAAAAAAAATACTTTAACTTAAGTATATAAATAATTACGTCAACACACAAATTAAATATTTAAATTAATCTATAGCACCTGTCTATACATTCAAAGAATTCCGCAGTTTGGTCCTAATTTACCGTCACTGCTCCGCTCCTAAAAGTCGAAGTGTAATATCAAATAGCTATTAACTTTCTTCCAGAATTGGGCTATCGAATTCAAAAGGATTTATCCAAATTGGACAAACAGCTTAAGAGATAAACGCCATCAACTACGAAAAAAGCTTTTTATTTTTGTTATAATTATTAAGCAATCGATGTTTATAATCGATATTATCCTCATTGTTTATCGAATGATCTTACGTCTTATATTTACATTGTACAACCATTTTATTTGATTCAACTTATTACTAAATAAGTTAACTTATATTGACAAATCATTTGCCTAATATACGAGTATGTTAGTTATTCAGTTCAGAAATGTATAATTTTCGTCAGGTTTGAATGTTTTATTTTCACACGTATTTGTTACTAAATGAACATTACGTATATTATAACAGTTCAGGTTCGATTCCCACCCAGGACAAATAATTGTGTGATAAGCACAGTAATGTTTTCGATGTCTGGGTGTAATTTATCTATAATCTTAGTTGTTACTTAAATTCTTTTTTTTTTCTTATCAAAAGACAACTCCCGCATTAAGAATATATCCTGTGTCGCGGGGGACTTTACAAACATACATGAAACGGACACAAAGAACACCCAGACTCAGAACAACAATTTGTGGATCACACAAAGTGTCGTCCCATGTGGGGTTTGAACCCACAACACTCGACGTAGTAGGAAGCGGCGTGGCGACCGCTTGAACCACTACGCCATCTGTGCAGTGCAGTCAAATATGTATGTATTTAGAAATATATTAGTATGTTTATAAGGGGTTTGGTTAGCATAGTACAGGCTATATCAAACAATCTGTGGAACGGGTTATCGTCAGCGGTATTTCTGGACCGATACGATCTTCTAACCATCAAGAAAAGGGCGTACTCCTTCCTAAAAGGCCGGCAACGCGTTTGTGACTCCTGTGTTGCAGACGTTCATGGGCAGCGATAGACACTTTCCATCAGGTGACCCGTCTGCTCGTCTGCCCCCACTAACATAAAAAAATAAAAAAGCGGTATAACAAAACACATTTCTAATTAATCATTTTTATATTAAGCCACATATCAGCATCAGATACAAATCTCTGATCACACATAATCATCAATCATTCATCAATCACTCTTGCGTCAGTCATTAGTTTGAACAGAATATATTTAATTAAAATTAATTCAGAAACAGGAATTAGATAAGAATGTTTGAAAGTGATTTTTATATAGCTGAGCTGGACTGTTGGTAAGCGATTACCGGCACTAATAACATACATATCATTTGCTGTGTTGCCAGCTCTATCTAATCTATCTAGATCTCTAGCGCAAACACTGTTTGCTTTTATTACTTAATAATAATAAAATTAGCAGGAAAGTACTGAAAAAGATATTCAGTTATCTATTAGAGCTTAATTTGAAGTGTACAGTCTTTTTGTGTCCAGTCAATCCCGTGTAATGACGGATTAAGAATTCGAAGTGTCACCACCCCTATTCATCCCGTGGGTGTCGTAAGAGCCGACTAAGGGAGCAAACTACGCAGGACAACAGCACTGCAGAGAGAAGGAAAACTTGAAACAAACCCTGTACCAACCCGTTTGGCCAGCGTGGTATAATAGGCCAAAACCTCCTTTCTAAGGAGAGGCCTACGAGTGTGTCCAGCAGTAGGCTATTACAGGCTGTTGATGATAATGATGAGTCTTTTTTAAAGTAACGCGTAAAATTGGATACCAGGAAAACTCTCATAACCCTATAGTACTTAGAGAACTTTACTTTCATCGTATGGAGACAGGAGAGCAGAGGCGAGACTCGTGTGGACAGGCGAGAGTTAAGTGGTATTTTGGACTCAAACCCACTAAAACCTCACGGTGTACCAAGTGAATCTATTCCAAAGAACCCAGGACCTAATTAGCTCTTACAGTTTTAGGTAGTCTAATAAGCAGGAGGCCCCCCGGTAAGAGGGGAGTCTAACCCCATCCACATCAGATAGGCGCCCGCCTAATACGTCACGCCATAATATCAGCCCTTCTTCTGTGCGGGTAATGTTCAGAGTAACCCATTTCCCCTTACCCGCGTACATGGAGGCCGGAGATCATTCTTAGCAAGAGAACATGATGTTCAGAACTATGATAGTAATAATTGTATAAAACACCAGTATGTTTATCGAAGATAAGAATACAATTTTAAACGTACAAAATAGTCAAAGAATTCGAGTTCCACCTACACCATAAATAATATTTGTCATATATTTTTTTTTGTTTTATTTTCGTCAAAAGAATGTCGCCGATGCGATAGTGAAACAATAAAACGCTTATCTGACACCTAATTGCAGTAACGGTGACACAGAATACCTAATATGCTAGTGATTGCCAATACCTAATACTTCTGAATGTCACTTTTGTTGCACATTCAATGTCGGTAGATGTCAACTTACTGATGCTTTAAGAGCGGAAAACGAGGACCTGACGACTGACAATCAGGCGAACTGTGTGCTTATTTGAAATAACATTAATAATATTCATCACCCTACTCGAAGCCTTGTCCCAAACTTTAGTTTACTACTAATAATAAAAAAAAAATTGGGATCAACTATTATTAGCAAGTGGTATGTATTTAAAAAAAAAATGGTTTTAAAATGAATCATTCGTCTGAACTTGTCCACTTACACTATAATTTAATAAAGTATAACATAAACAAAATTGAGCTGCGAATGAATGAACAAATACAATCAGTCCGTATTTTAATTGTGATCATTTACTTTTTTGAGCTAGCAACATTAGTAAAAAGACAATATCACATCAATCATTCAACAGCCGAGATCAATATATCACTTAAAAATTATATCAAGTTTAAAATTGATGAAACGTCATTTGGAAAATTTCTGATCATTTTTAGTTGTTCTGTCCAATATATCTGTCACTGTCAAGTCCATTCATTTCTATATCTCTACAAATTTCTTTATACTATTTAATGTGCTTAAAATCAACCTTATTTACTTCTAATATGACTTATCTGAGGTCCATATTAAAATCTATATTTCGCAATCTATACCAACATTTGAAGTATTCAATTTACAACTTTGTAGCTTTGTAATAAGAATGATAGGAGTGTTAAAGTAAAGATGGTCCAGTAAATAGTGTTTGCGATGGACAGTCGTTGTCAACTGATGGTTGGAAACAATGGAATCATTAAAGTGGACACCATGGAGTGATGGCCGGACCACCGTGTTGACAATACGTATATGGGTTATGAATAAGCTTGTTGTTCAAGAATATGAAAGATTATAATTTGTTAAATATTGAACCAAAAACGAAGATAGAGACTGATGATATACTAGATATAACTAATCCAGGTGATTTTTTTAAATTCAGCAAAAGAGAAACTCAAAAACAACTTGAGCTTAAAGTATAACAAAACAACAAAGGATTAACTTCAACTAGTGATGACCCAATTTTAAGCATAAACAACCTTAACTACCAAAAAATAGTAAAAACTAAGAAGTTGAAATGGTAGCCTTGAACCTACTTCCAAATTTATCATGCAAAGACGACAAGACATCCTGCACCGCGCAATTAAAGTTCCCTCCCTCCCTTAAGCCGCAGTCATCGAACCTACTCGGCAGATTTCACCTGTGTGTTGGAGGGGATATAAAAATCTTTCCTGTACATGTCTCTTCGCTCACCTATGACCACTATTTTTGCTCTTACAATGGCACTTTATTTAAGATGTGCTTGCTAAGAGAACTCTCATATAAATAGAAGTGTGAAGACATGGGGCCTCACCTTTCAGCATTAGGATCCTGGATCAACGTAGCTGGTATACTGTGTTCGATGTCGTCACGTTCGTCAGGCGCGGGGGAGGTGCGAGACGCGGGGGACACGGAGCGGGATGCTTCGCCCTCTCCCCCTTCCTGCCTCTCCCCCCTCTCGCTTCGTTCCTTCACTCCGCTTTCTGGACTATTCTCTTCTTCTGTGGACAATAGAAAACAGGTAAATTAGCTTAGAATTTAAGAGTCTTATGTATTGTCAACGGTTTTGTAATTCTAGACGTGATTGTATACATGATTCACTTAAGCGGAAAATGGAGGGTCTAGTGGTAACCAAACATGTTAACACATTGCAAAGTTAATCATCCTACCCAGGTCAGTTTATGGATGGGTGACTATTCATAACAAATTGAGTGATAACCTACTTGAAAAACATTAACTCCTATTGGCCAAGTCGGTTTTAAAATGTCCAATAATTTTATTACGTGATTGAAATCGTGTCTCAACATTTCAAGGATCAGGAAATTGCCATCTAAAAGTAACGATAAACGTCAAATGCAATCAATAAATCATATATTCAATTAATAATTACATCACAAACATTTAGTTTCCATGTCATAGAAATGGAAAATTCTGTTACAAACAACATGACACATGCAATACGAATCGAATCAATTATAATCGAAAACACAGCAACACAAATTAATCACGATAATAGAGACACTTTAATACTGTATTTAGGTTGATTTAAAAGGAAGGAGATAAAACAATATCAATTTATTGCGATTGTTCATCATCTAATGACGAGATATGATAGATATATTACATCGATAAGGAAAGGAAAAACGCAATTGTAATGGGGCCAGTGTACGTTGCGCAAAACATGTGATCGATTTATGATTGATTAGTTGTATTTGACGATCGATTATTAGTTGTTTAAGTTACCGTCTGACATAATTTGGGGCGATAATGTTATCGATATAGGATGTCTGCTAATGGTTGAGACATATATATAGACCCTTAAGGAATGCGAAGTAATTTTACTACTGTTGCCGGCCCATTTACAGAAATTATGAGGCATAAAATGATTTAACCGCTACACGTTGGTGTAGGTTACTGAATATAATCCGGATGTCTTAATAACAGCTGTTCCCGGATCCCTCCTATTACAGGCGCAGAGTGGCACACCGTGTGGTTTTAGTCGGTCCGAGTCCGACACACCACCCCGCCGCAAACCCCGGTGGGGTGACGGTCCGAGGGGATTTCCACACGTTAAAAAAAAAAAAAAAGGTTACTGAATATAAAAAGTTTAGGAGGATTTCCCATACAGGTGGGGGTCATCGACAAACCGTATATGGCCCGAGGTACGTCGGGGTACCAGAGTACACCTGGTTTCCAGGCAACTGGTACCCGAGACGGCGTGCGGTTTTTGGTCATTTCGAGTCCGACATAACCATCCGATCGATGGGTGGTATCCGAGGGGACAAGAAAAAAGAAGGAGGAGGAACGATTTTGATTTAAACAAATATGGGGAGGGGGGGCTGAAAGGATAATTTACCAAGCTTTAGTTACTAGAAAGGCTTACAACATCTATATATTTAATGCAACGGCCAGTTGTCACCAGCAGAACAATTTCTTGACACAGCCGAACACCGATACGAATAGTCAAAAAGGCTCCCTGACAAAAGTTTTAAATGGTCAACTTGCACTTTGGTAGTTACCCTGTGGTTCTTGCTCATAAACCTACAAAATTAACCATAGATATTCCTTAAATAAAAGTGCTTTACTTTACGTTTCCTAAGTTTATCATCAATGGATTGATACCACACGATATTTCATTCGATTGCTCCGTGTGGTGACGGATTAAGAATACAGAGTGTCACCACCCCTATTCATCCCTTGGGTGTCGTAAGAGGCGACTAAGGGAGCAAACTGCAAGGAGAACAGCACTGCAGAGAGAAGGAAAACTTGACACAAACCCTATACCAACCCGTCTGGCCAGCGTGGTATAGTAGGCCAAAACCTCTTTTCTAGGATTTATAGTACAAGCTTTAATCTAGATATCGCTATAAAGTCTTCTGGAATATTGGTATCCATATTAATATTACAAAGCTTTAAGAGTTTGTTTGGTTGAACTCACCAATCTCAGAAACTACTGGATCGAATTGAAAAATTCTTTGAAGACTGAAGGTTATGTAACATCACGCTACGACCAATAGAAGCTGAACAGCAATGAAAAATGGTGCAAAAAAAAAGCGAAAATTTATTCCTTTTAGAAGACGCAGGCAAAGTTGCGTGGGTCAGCTAGTGATCTTGGCTTAATTAATATAATAAATTAATACTGTCACAGAAATGTCTAGCTAAAGCATACCATAATTTAAATAGTTTTTGATAAGAATACTGAGTGAGTGTGTTATCGGTAGTATTGGTATATATTTCGAAATCTTTATATCCGTAGGCATCTGGGTCACAATGCAATTTTTTTTATTTTTCACACATTTTACACACGGCTGTCTGATCCCGAACTCGGCAGAGCCTGTACTATGGTAACCAGACTTCTGATAAACATACTTATATATTTATAAATACATACATATTATAGATAAAGTACACCCAAACACAGAACAACTGACGCTGCTCATCACACAATTATTTGTCCTGGGTGGGAATCGAATCCACGACCTCTGGCGCAGCAGTCAGGGTCACTAACCACTAGACCAACAGGCCAGTCACTGCTACATACTACTTACGTATAATAATCATTTGTATACAATAGGTCAAAAACTAGAACCACACAGAGGGCCAAAACCTTCTTTCTAAGAAGAGGCCTATGTCTATGGGCTATTAAAGATTGTTGATGATGATGATGACACAATAGGTGTAATGGCCTGTTCAACAAAACAATGACTTGACTGTCTCAGTGGTGCAGTGGTAGCGTATGCGACTGCTGTGTTGAGGTCTCGGGTTCGATTCCCGGGTCGGACATAATGAATTGTATGATCTGCAAACATTTATTTCGAAGTTTGGGTGTTTTATATGTATAATATATAAAAGTATATAAGTATTCTATCCGTCAATCTAGCTTTCATAGTACAAGCCCTGCTTAGTTTGAAACTAGATGGCGTTGTGTGACAGATGTCCGAAATATTAAAATGACAATTACTATGAAAGATTTAGCAAATAATTCACAGGGTGAATTTTGAAAGTAACAAACCTAATTGAAAAACAAAGCGTCCGTTTAACCGTAACGAAAACGTCCAACAAAAAGAGGACCCACAGATTATAAAGTTATCGTCCGTTCGAAAAACGCATGGAAAAAAAAGCCGCCGTATTTGAAACCGGATAGCCGAATTGGCGCCGCGGTGGCCGGCCGGCTTATTTCACTGTCCAATGGGTCGTGAACCGCGTTTCTGCTTGTTAATTGATTAAAACGCAACGTGTCAATCCGGTCCGGATGGCAAAGATGCGGTTGAGGACGAAATGCCCGCGGCGGTCTGCAATGTTAATAGTGATGGGCGCTGTCCTGCGGTTTGCTAACGGGACGGGATGTGGGAGTATTTTGTTTTTTTTTTGCACTACGATAGTTACTGTAGTATTTTTTTTCATTGACCAAACATACAGATAACCAGAAATAAAACATATCTAATTTCTACGAGTAATTAATAATAATTGCCTTAATTTCGTTTATTAAAAAGCAGTTTTTATTGATATGTGCCTTTAAGCAGAAATAAGCCGGGTGTAATTAAAGTAGGACTCAAATTTTTTTTTTATCCTAATTAATGTAGACTAGAATGGAGGTATTTTCTAAATGAGAAATGGTGTAGTATTATATTATAATATTAGAGTTTATTTAGCACCATTTTAAAGCATTTGAATTTTTGTACTAATTAACTTCTTATGTGAGTTACAAAAGGAACATTTGTTATGTTGTTGTTTTACAAAGTTATATTTTATAATAAAATATGTCTAATCCCGTAAAAAACAGATATTCCCGATGTCGGTTATTCCCATCACTAGGTATGCGCTAGCCAACCAATTGATCAAAGGAGTTGATCAGCCTCCGGCTGTACCTGCGGGTAACCATGATGCGTTTATAGGCCGCGTGTTTTAATTGAGCCCTTTGTCGTTAGCTATTACGCGTGTTCGTGAATTATCCTATGACCAATGGCATGCAATACTGCGGTTTTTTTACTTGTGATTAATTTTGTATGTTTTTATTGACTTGACTAGAAGATTCTTAAGAAATTTTTGGCACTAAGTGGAAAGTGAACTTTTACATTATGGACCTAGTGATTCTAAATGCTGAGTAAGGTGAGGTCGTGGGTTCGATTTCCAATCTGAATAACCAACTGTTTAATGAGATCGATGATGATCTTTCCTTCAATTTACAAAAGTTGATTACAAGTACAAAAGTTATTAATGGTTATATATCTATTGAAGTCAACTATAGGAAATACTTTGTACAAAATAAAGTATGCCTTCAAAGATAAATCTAAATTTCTAATTCGTTAAAGTTATATCGACCCAATTCGTTAGAGAATCGATAAAATCAAGATTCATAACGTTTTATTAAGAAACGGTTTAGTTAGCGTTCTCTTCCTAACAATCGATAATCGCCAATCGTATCGGTTTCACGGCGATTTTGGTGAAATTGATCTATTGTTTCGTAAAAATTCTATAGGTCTTTGTTAATTTCTAGCGTGACGAATTGGAATGAAAGATATAGGTTTAGATTGCTATTACAGAATTAATCTTAAATATTATATTAGTGATGTACCACATTCCAAATTTTCGTAATTAGTTTTTTTTTTAATACTCAAAAATCAATCTGCCCTCAGTAACTTTGGTATGATACAATATGACTACCTTAGCTTACTTTGACTAAATATAACTTTAAAAATGTCTTTTTTAACGATCATACATGAAAGGGCCACAAAGAACACCCAGACTTGGAACATTTGTGGATCACATAAAGTGGTGTCCCATGATCGAACTCGCGACACTCAGCGCAGTAGGAAGCGACATGGTGACCGCTTAAACCACTACGCTATTCGTGCAGTCAATGTGCTTCTACTACAAGCAGAAATACTAAAAAATTCAAAAGAGAGGCAGTTACAATTGTTTCAAAATAATGAGTGTGCGAAAACTGACTAATATCATTTAAAAATGAACACTATTGCTTAAGAATTAACTTTCACATTTATTCATCATAGTTTCGCAACTGACACATTGATCAGAAGTCGTTTCCCTAAACCGAAAGGACCTATTTAATTCCACAACCGTTGCTAGTTTCACTTACGGCGGGTTATCAATGCTTATCACGTGATCCATCAAACGGCAGATGGTCGTAATCCGAATTTGTGTGATAACGTATTCGCAATAACCGCGGTATAATGTTTACTTAATACTTTTGATGGCGATTATCTTTTTATTTGCATGGATACGTACATACAACTATTGTAGTGCTAGTACGAATTATTAATTCCTATTTTTATTTATTGTGACATAAATACGTTGTCTTGATGGATGGGTGTCTATATAATATTATTTAAGTATAATAAATATGCAATAAATTAAATTGGCGCCACGTGATCGAACATTCAAAACCTATTGTAATGCTAACAGTCTACGTGTTTTACGCGCAATAGTATCTGAAATTTTATTTAATATTGTCTAATGATTATTTCTCATTCATCCCTTATTTTACTCCCTTTTTTTTTTTTTTGTTGACGGGTTGGAAAATCCCTTCGGATCTCCGGCTCCTCGGGGACTCAGGAGCCAGGAGTATGTGGTGATTCCACTAAAAACCACCCCGACGGCCGGCCTTAGGTGTCCTACTCTGGGGAGGACCCGGACCATGTTATTTCAGGTCCTCCCCGAATTGACACCATGCCTAATCAGGCCCTATCCCAGGGGAGAACACTTCCCGATTCAATCGCGGCATGGCGGCCCGATCGCATCTTAATGCAATCAGGCCGGCCATTCCATTCCCTACCGCAGCAATCAATCTGCCACCAGATTATTACCAGATGCTTATTTTACTCCCTAAGAAGTGAAATTGCCAAAAATCCTTTCTTAGTAGGTGTTGACAACATAAAAAGCATCAGATGACAAAGTTCAAGTTTGGATTCTCAGTGATTTAGGCTGTGTGTTGATGAATGAGTCAGGCAAGCAAGTAATTTTATGTGTGAAGACGATCTGATCCCTTGAGCCTCGACAGCATTATTTCATTACCTAGTATTAATTTGACTCGTTTTTTTTAAGTTAAAAGGGGGCCGACGAGCAGACTGGTCACCTGATGGAAAGTGACCATCGCCGCCATTGAACGTCTGCAACTCAGGAGTCACAAACGCGTTGCCGGCCTTTTAGGAAGTAGTACGCTCTTTTCTTGAAGGTTTGAAGGTCGTATCGATCCGGAAATGCCGCAGATAATAAGCCGTTCCACAGATTGGTTGTGCGGGGCAAAAATTCATAGAATAGATAAAGAGTTACTGAACTTAAGCACTGATATCACATCACATCACATCACATCACATCAACAGCCTTTAATAGTCCACTGCTGGACATAGGCCTCTCCTAAGAAAGGAGGTTTTGGCCTACTATACCACGCTGGCCAGACGGGTTGGTATAGGGTTTGTGTCAAGTTTTACTTCTTTTTGCAGTGCTGGTGTCCTGCGTTGTTTTGCGCCCTTAGTCGGTTCTTACGACACCCACGGGATGAATTGGGGTAGTGACATTTCGTATTCTTAATCCGTCACAACAATTTATGTAATTGCATAAATGTATAAGGGATCGTGGTCGGGCTACTGGGTTTTCTTCTTTCATTCTTGTCTATGACACGTCAGTTTACTGCATACTGCCTTTCTAGCCCTATCCTCTATTACGCAGTAAATCCATCTTTTAGTTGGCCGTCCTCAACTCTTAGATCTTAAATTTTTTCAGTACACTTTGAGCACTGATAAATATATATTTAAAGTTATGCCATTTAAATAATAAACCTAGATACAAACTAGTGCTGAAAAACTTATCAAGAAACCTTCTCAGTAAGTTTCAAAGCACCGCTATCAATCGGTGCGGTGTCGTGGACAATTTCCTCGGTCGTGCCGCAGTCGTGCCGGTGTCGTTTCCCTATTTGCACCAGACATCACAAAGGCGAGAACTCTTTGTCGTCGTGAACCATTGAAATTGAACGGCCGATGTTGATAAGACAATTTTAATTTTTAATAACCCATAGTTTGATAACAAATTTGTGTCTGGACAGGCCTTTGTTATTGTTTACGTCTAGTGTATCTTTTATTTAATTTTCTATTTTTCCTTTCTATTTTATTAAATCTTATTTCTATGTCTCGTATTCTTTTCATTGCCTTTTTACCTTCTAGTGCTTAAAACTTACATACTAGCACACATCAAAACAATGTTGTGTATTGTTAATAATGGCCATTGTTATCTGTTGATTTGCCGTGAGTCTGTCGCCCGCGTCTTGCTCACCTGATAAACTTTCAAAATGATTAATTTCCATACAAATGTTCGTCCTTTACTATCCCTTACCCCTTTAGGGATAATTTTTGAAGTGAAAACTTCTTTAGGCGCGTTGAGCATTGAACAACAAACAAAATAATGTATTTTTTGAGATATGAAAAAACCACTCAACCGTTACCGTTACCGACACCTCTGTATATTAGTATCTACAAGTGGCCCCGTTTACATGTACACGATAGGCGAGTTTTGGTTGAAATACATTGATAATATAACTATATATAATATAAACATAATATATTGTGTATATATGTACAACATAGATATATATTCATGTCGGAACTTTTCGAATCGAAAAAAAATTTTTTATTAAAATTTTCAAATTTACACTTCTGTCGGCACTCTCAGAGTGCCACGGTTTTTTTTTTCATAAAAGCATCAGTTGTCATAAGTTTTAGGCTCTTCGGTGATGAATCATTCAGAAAATTCGAGAAATAACCCACCATACACAGATCCAACTGCCTTACTAATTACGTACAATGTCCTAAAAAGAAGTACCCCAATCTCAACATCAGTGATCTGTCAGCGGTTCGTGCGTGACGATAAATCGCACGCACGCACGCGCACTCACCATAAATCCTGCTCACCAGCGACACCAACGATCGGTGATCAGATGTTGCGAATTTGTCTCTCGAACTCCGTAAGTGATCCAATTATAATCAACCGGTTTTCGATTGATCGAAATTTTTATGCATAACTAATTGTTTATGACTACTTTGGGGTTGATTTTGTATATTAATTAAAACATAATGTGTATTTTAGAGTTGCCGGAATAGTATCAGACCCAAAGGGGATACTTTTTATTGACTTTAAAAAGGAGGAGGTTTTTGATTTTACAATTATATGTATCCTGTGTCGCGGGGGACTTTACTAACATACATGAAACGGACACAATGAACACCCAGACTCAAAACAACAATTTGTGGATCACACAAAGTGTCGTCCCATGTGGGGATCGAACCCACAACACTCAGCGTGGTAGGAAGCGGCGTAGCGTCCTCTTAAACCACTACGCTATCCGTGCAGTCAGTTAAATTAAGAGATAAAAGATACAGAAGATTTTATTCATATATTTTTTCAAATCATTATTTGAATAATCTCAAATAGATCACTTGCGTTACTGTTGCGGTACTTGTAGAAAATACTTATTAACAACATAAATCTAACCCTCTAATTTAATTTAAATTTACCGTGGGAGAACCATGTTTCGGCACGAATGGGCCGGCTCGACCGGAGTGATACCACGGCCTCACAGAAAACCGGTGTTAAGCAATTCTTTCGCTGCCTTTCACTAAGTGAGTGAGGTTACCGGAGCTCAAATCCCCCCTCTCGCTGACTCGAGCGGGAGGGACTCCAAGGGCGGCAACGCGCTTGTGACTTGAGTTGCAGGTGTCCATGGGCGGCGGTAGTTGCTTACCATCAGGTGACCCGTCTGCTCGTTTGCCCCCTTATGGTATAAAAAAAGTTGATTGTGAATTTTTAAAAAAAATCAGAGCAAAATTAAGCTTGCTACACCAAAAATATATCCACAGTTTACACTGACAAAAAGGTGCAATATTGAATCCTGCCTGTCCCTACACAAAGCCCGGTATCTACGATAATTGACCGGCGCACTGCGTCCCCGGGTGTTCGCTCGTAAAATGCCTGATACCGCCTTGTGCGAGCTCACGATAGCGGCCACCGAGGTGAGTTGGTGATACCACGAATAATGGTGGTGATAGAAAAGTGATTAAAAGATTTTACATGTTACAACTCAAGATTATAAAGTGAAATCTCAGCAGTATTCCCAAGAGGCGTTGTGGAAATACAAAGCCGTATTCAACTATATATTTGATTACATAGGTATGTTTTTATAGCAGATTTCTGATCGAAATGAAGTCGCCTATCTGAAGAAATAGCTCTATTGTATAAAATATCGTACTGTTGCTTGTGGTCGCTAGTTTCAAAGGGATTAGGTAGGCCTCTGAAAACACTGCTAATATTTTATTATGTAACTTATTTACATAGTTAAAACCTTTGAACCTATTTTTTATATCAGTTTTTTTTAATGTCTTTGGCAAACCATAAAGCAAAATATTTCATCCATCAGACATTCTAAATGAGTCTTAGACATTTAAATTACATCTGACAATACTATGATCCAACCCTCCAATGACAACTGCATCATCAATGACCCAGTTAGACGTCAAAGTGACGCAACAAGTTACAAACAGTGGTTCAAGTGTAACTTGTCACGGTAGCACGGCTGTGCGAAGTGTCGCGTTGTTTATCGCTTTGCGGACGGGCCTGTGAAGTCCCCTCGTTGGCCCGAAATGTTTGTCGCAGTGTTAAATCTTAGGCTTGGTGACTTTTTCAGTTGTATATTACTTAGAGTAACTCGAATATTTTAGTGTTTACTGGAAAAGTGAAACTAAAAATATGTTTTCAGAACATTTACTGATTAGGCAGATGTCATATTAAATAACTCTCTACCTCTGTCTATTTGAGTTGTTTATTATTAAAAATATATGGGACATTAGAACTACGATCACTAGAATTGAACTGATTGACTGATTGACTCTGAAGGGATAGACAAATTAAGCATTCATATTTTCCCAATAATTAAAACAACTGATAGTAAGTTACAAACAGAAACATTAAAGATCTGAACTGCACTTAGAACAGTATTATATTTCTTTGATGGTTACCGAAAGACAAATTTACTACTAATGCTATTTGTGAATAAAACGAAAATGTTTGCTACTTCATAAGCAATTTTCCATCTCTTCACCCTTTCCCCTAACCATATTTTGTTCAACAACACATTAATAAACCTGTATGATATCAAGTATCTAAACATTCGCAGTATAAAGCGAAGCAACAAGTATCAATTTGTCGCTGTCACTCGGCGGCAGCGGGAGGGTTGACTCTGCTTAGTGTATCAACTATTTCGGCTCTTGCTAATGTAGATCCTGTAATTGATTGCCATCGGGAGGCGAGCTTGTGTTATGGAGTAGACTTGGAATCTGATTTTAACTAGTGGTACTATCTAAGCTTCAGACAAAACTACAAGCTTCGTCTTCAGGTGGCAGTAGCTGGGTCTCTCCACATAGATTTGGAAGTAAAACAAATATAAAATCATTTCAGCCAATATCTGCATTAGCTACTTGAACTATCAACTAACTATTCAAAAAACCATTTTAATCAAGGGTAAATAAGAATCTATATTAAAAGCTACTCCTTCGTAAGAGGGAATCACGACTAAAACTTGTGAAAAACTATACTTTCTGCTGCTGACACTGATATTTTAAGTTGTTTAAGGCCTAGTACAAAATAAGTATGTGATATCTGAAATGTTTATATAGAACCTGATATCTAGCTTACCCCTACTACTGCGCGAACTAAAGTAGGCTGATCATCATGCAACTTTGTAAACATTTTGACTCCAGTACCATAGGATTTCTTATCCAGAAAAAAGACTGTTCTCATAAGATAAACCATAAACTTTATGTAATTGAAACCGCGGATTAACTTGGTGTCAGAATAATAAGAACCGTGAGTAGTACTCATAGCTTTTTATATTTATTTGCTTATTTTACTTAAAATTCCTTCATAAAATAATAGTATGGAGCGGTATAACTAGTCGAGATTCTAAGAAACACACATTTTAATTCTTAATTTTTAATCTTTTATTCTTTGTCTAACTTTTATTATAAAGGTCAAAAAGTTTCTGTATTCTGTAGTTTCTGTAAGTCAACAGTGTATTAATAGTGCATTTGTAAGGCTTAGCTACTAAAAAGCTTTAGGGGGAAAATATGTAATATTACAGTATAAGTCTGAGAGACCTATCAATGATTCATTAATTTAATGTATTGTACACTTTCGAACACAGTAATAGCAGTCTTCCTCGGACCAACATAAATCAACAAAACGCTTTACCTATGCGAAGATTGAACAGGAACAGATAATTATAAACCTCGTTAATATCATAAATATCGATCAATGTCTCAGGCAAGTTAAATTAATACGCTCATGAATCGAATGTCGTCGCTTATCAATCAACCGATGGCGTTGATTGATTGGAGCTGTCGACCGACGAAACAGAATCTAGTATCAATCATGTTATCGACGAATATCATTGGTGATGGTTGACATTATTCATTTATAAAATTAGCTGCGAGCGTTTGGGGGGTAAGGTGGGAGGTGTAACTACGTGCTATTTTTTGAGAGAAAATATAAAAAATGTTACGTTAAGAAAAGTTATAAGAATACGGAATGTCACTACCGCAATTCATCCCGTGAGTGTCGTAAGAGCCGACTAAGGGCGCAAATCAACGCAGGACACCAGCACTGCAAAAATTTGATACCAACCCGTCTGGCCAGCGTGGTATAGTAGGCCAAAACCTCCTTTCTAAGAAGAGGTCTATTTCCAGCAGTGGACTATTAAAAGCTTTTGATGTGATGTGATGATGATAAAAAATGTTAAATATTGACTAGAATTCTGTAGTTAATACACATACGAGTAGAATTAAATATCATAAGTAAAAAAATTTAAAGCACGATACTTCTTTTGAGTCATCAACTCAATAATTGATCAATGAATGTTTAAAGGATATGTGGCTCTCAGGAAGGGCACAAACTGTGTTGTTGATTACCTACCTAAGTTTAAAAAGGCTCGATTTACGGATCTCGCAAGTTTGTTGTTGGGTTTTTAAAAGCAATCTGTTAGTATCAGTGTAGCCGTTGATTGCGACCACTCTACCAGCCGCCATAATCTTTACAACCTTTTTCTTTAAAAGTAACTAAAAATCTCTCCGATATTCGAATGGCTGAACAGATTATGTTGAAATATTGCACATCACATCAATAGCCTTTAATAGTCCAATGTGTCAGTCCTTAGACAGGAGTTTTTGGCCTACTACAGTTCGCTGGTCAGACGGGTTGGTATAGAGTTTGTGTCAAGTTTTCCTTCTCTTTGAAGTGCTGTTGTCCTGCGTAGTTTGCTACCTTACAACACCCACCAGATGAATAGGGGTGGTGACACTCTGTATTCTTCATCCGTCACCACATGGATGGGATGTTGAACCATCCCAAAGAGCAATCAACTAAGACAAGTGATCATTCAAACAAAAGCTATGATATCACAGATGCGTTTAGCTTAATTAATTACGCATCCCATTTGGATTGATAATAAAATGCTAAAGTGACTTATCAATATATATTTGTTTCTTTCTGCTAACTAATCTTTATTCATCATTATGTGAAGGACATCGCGTCTGACATTTAAATATCATGACGTATCAAGATCTCTGATTTCGATAAATCTGTACATTAACGTCCAAATAAAATACGAAATGACGTGACTATGTAAATAATATGTATAAAACATTGATTGAAGATTATAGAATCAAACTGGATTGTTGATTTAGTGGAGTTATGTTGACTGCTAAGGTGGAGGTTGTGGGTTCGATTCCCAAGGTAAATAATTGAATGATAAGCAGGATCTTTGTTCTGTTTGGGTGTAATTTATCTATAATAAGTATATTAGCAGTTTGGTTACCATAGGCCTGTGTTTAGTGTTGGATCAGATGACCGTTTGTGAGATGTGGGAGTTTATTACCTATTATTAATAATCGCGTTAGTTACAGAATTAATGAGCCTGAATGTAACAGTATATTATGTTTTGACTGCACGAATGGCGTAGTGGTTAAAGCGTTCACCTCGCCGCTTCCTACTGCCCTGAGTGTTGTGGGTTCGATCCCCCAAAGAAAACTTTGTGTGATCCACAGGTTTCATAAATGTTTGTAATGCCTCCCGTGATACATTATATACTCCTATTCCTGTGGGAGTTGTTCTTAAAAAAATAATTGAAAATATATTAGATTTTAATAGCCTTTAATAGTCCACTGCTGGACATAGGCCTCTCCTCAGAAATTAGGTTTTAGATGTTCATTATTACACTTATTATAATGAATACCACAATAGAAGGAGAACACAGTTTTACAGCGTATTGTAAAACAGTTCGAGCATTACTCAAAAACGAGCAGCAGTTTTTGAGTGATGGTCGCACAAACAACCAAATACGTTAATGTTTTACATTCAAAGCCCTCAATTAAATTTTAATTGTATATCATGTTTATCTGCCACCATCACGCAAGCAATTGTTATTAACAACGCTGATGAAGGCGGGCGTAAAAAGTTGTAAATATGAAGTAAGTAAACAAGACAGCCTATTTATTCATCAAAAGTGTTGTGATTCGACGGGTATATGTAGAGGTATATACCGCCAAAACCTCCTTTCTAAGGAGAGGCCCATGTCCAGTAGTGGACTATTATAGGCTGTTGTTATGATGAGTAAGTGTTTCAGTTCACTTAAAAGTGTTTCATATTAAGGTTTTTATATTATTATTGAGTGAGTGATGCATAATTTCATTGCAACGTCCGTTTTTTTTTAAATTGCTCGGTTCTCTATAGTGCATATATGTTTTCTACTCTAAATTGTTCATAAAAAAACGAATGTGCTTTACCACACGACTGAACTAAAACTTCTTGCTTATGAGAGAAAGAAAGATGAGTGCTCGCGAAACGAAACGTAACTCTCTCTCTTTCTATCTTCACCAACTTATATCTCCCTCTCAACTTCCGTTCGCCCGATCACGGTTTTCGTAACGCTCTCGTCACGCATTCACTAGCTTCCTCTCCAAGCGAAGCGTACGTAAAGAAGTGTTACTTAAAAAAAATATAATGTGATAATTAAAGATATATATATTTTACTTAGCTATTGAAACTCTTGGTATCCAAATTACTTTAAAATAAAGCAAGCAAGCAAATTATTTTTATTTTTTAACTTAACTACCTACTAGCTATGCTACAAAACTGATGTAGGTACTATACCTAACTTATTTCAGGGAATAAATACATTCGTTTCTGTACATACATTAAATTAAGTTGTTTGTATATGTCGAAGGTTAAAATATCTCGAAAATTTTGGTGACTGTTTACAACAAGCATGTGACATGGGTTTACCCCATTAATGACTACAATTTTTGTAATTCTGCCCCAGTAGGACTGAGGTACATATTTCTTCTTCAGCTTAGTTCTTTGTTGAAATAAATAACTTATTAAAAAAGGTAGTAGGTTCAATTTTACTATATTAAACTCTGTTGCTCTCAAACAAATGTCCATTTTTAACTGGAGTAACCAACCCAAAAAGCCGATGCTCAACTCGATACAAAGATCGGGACATATCTTCTATCGGTCAGATCGACCCCTCCGGTGGATTAGCCGGGTACGCGGGAAAAATCCCCGACGACGTCGACGCGATCCGTATTTGTCAACGCTCCGATGTCCGAACATCATTTTCATTAGCGTCGTGAGTCTGGCCCATTTGTACCAATGTTTGCTAACAAATGGGGTAGAAATTACCAAAGTTCTTTTTTTTTTGGGATTTAGAAAGTGATAGATTTTTAGGGTTGATTAATGGTTGTTTTGATAACGTTTCAAGTAGGGATGAAAGGATTTTTCTTATTTAATCTGAATTTTGGTGCTAAAATTTAATTATTATTATAACATTTATAATTAAATAAACTAATTGTTTAGAAGGTAAGTATAACCTTTTTGTGAAAAAAATATTAAAGCTTTTTATAGTACAAGTTCTGCTTAGTTTCAAACTAGATGGCGTTGTGTGTCAGTTGTCCGAAATATTGTATTTGTATTTTTGTATTGATTTTGTAAAATATTTCAAATATATATTTTGTATATAATTTTTATTTTTATTTCAAGTGCGACTTTGTTTGAAATCAAAATTCAATCAATCATAGAATCTATTGCAGTTAAGTAAATAAACCATCAAAATGTATTAACTGTAGTGTATACTTATTAGATTTTATAGTTCGTTTACCTACTGATTTAACAGAATAAGTGTTGTGCATTTATATCTAACTCATCGGTCAAATACCCTCTTTATTTGCTCCCTTTTCATTTGCTTCAATTCAATTGATTTAGTACATAAAAATAAAAATAAAACCACTCACTAGGTATTGTGATATTTGTTAACAAACATCAAAATCAAACTCTTTAGTATTTTTTATATAAATGGCAGCACTAAATTGACTGCACGGATGACGTAGTGGTTTAAGCGGTCGCCATGCCGCCTCCTCCTACGCCGAGTGTTATGAGTTCAAACCCCACATGGGACGACACTTTGTGTGGCTCCACAAATTGTTGTTTTGAGTCTGAGTGTTCTTTGTGTCTGTACATACCTACATATTTCTAAAAAATCCTTTTCTACTAATATTTTGTTTTTCATATTTTACACTTGTATTATCCATTCTAATAATACACAAAAAACATATTAAAACGATCTCAGATGTACCTAGAATTAAAGTTTAATCATCATTACATAAACTTAAAACGTTCCAAATAATTAAGTTAACAACATAACACAGGATATATACCTAATGCACGACCGAATGGCGTAGTGGTTTGTGTAACGGACTGCTATTCCAAAGGTTGTGGGTTCGATTCCCGCTCAAGTCAAATATTTGTGTGCATGAACATTTGATGTTTGATTTGGCCTGGGTGTTTCTATGTATAATAAGTATGTATTTACAAAAAAAAAAGTATTGTATTTATATCAGTTGTCTAGTACCCATAGTACAAGCTCTGCTTAGTTTGGGACTAGATGGCGTTGTGTGATTGTGTACAATATTATTTATATTATATTTATTATTAATGCGGGAGTTGTCTTTAAAAAAAAAGGCAACAAATATAAATAAAATTTAGATCCATATACACTTGTAACGATGTTATAACCACTGGAACTTTTAAGAGAATACCGAATTTGTTGAGAATGTATCCACACATGATACACCACTTGGTTGAATGTGGATACCGCGAAAGTGGTTTGTGAGCAGCGCAACAAGCCTTCCATTGTGTTTAACTATCACGATACTTAAGGACAATATGCAGTATATGCTATACCTGTTTGAAAATATATATTAAGATGCTCACTGCTGTTGACTAACCATCGTTGATAGTAGTTTCTCTTTTTATCCATGAACTAACGGAGGCTCTGTCAGTTCATGGATAAAAGGTGAAGATTTAAAAATGATGATGAAGAGAGGTAAAAGTGGCAACCAAATATATTTTATTTGGGCAATTTCTTTACCAATTTTTTTTGCATATATCTCATTTGTGTTATAAGATCTATTCTTATAATTTAAACTGAACATAATTGAAAAGCTGGTAATAATCTTCGCTAGGCTATATCGCGTTACCGAACAAAGGTTACCGCGCGTTACCCAACCCAAAAGATTTTATTATTAACCTGTGACACCAATTAAATACCCCTCTATGTCATAATTATCATAATTATGTGTTAATTTCTATAGGTATTAGAAAGCTAACATTCCTATGTAAATATACATTTAAATATACATGTATTGTGACATTAAAACCTTTGGAATTTTGAGTTTTAAATTCCACTAATGAAACAAAAGATGCGTTGATTTCCTAATGAGCAGATGCTATTTATCGATTAATGAGATATCATTCGGGTCTGTATCGATTGGAAGTGAATGGATATATATGAGACTCAATCAAATGTGATAAAATGGTGTTTAAATTTTTAAATGTTCCACTTCCATTTGACAGGTGTTCATTTAATGTTGTTAACTTAATTATTTGGAACATTTTAAGTTTCTGTAATGATCATTTAAATTCTAGGTACATCTGAGATCGTTTTAATATGTTTCTTTGTGTACTATTAGAATGGATAATACAAGTTTGAAATATGAAAAACCAAATATTAACAGAAAAAGATTTTTTTAAAGGCAACTCCCCACTAGAAATATACACACAGACATAGAGAACACCCAGACTCAGAACAACAATTTGTGGATCACACAAAGTGTTGTCCTATGTGGAGATCAAACCCACAATATTAAGCGCAGTAGGAAGTCAGTTTGAGCAGTCAAAAAAGTTCTTAATGTACGAGTAAAATTTAAAAAAATGTTTCCATTATGTGCAGAAAACCTAACACTGTGTGTTGTTGGTTTTTTTTTTACTAAGATTTGAACAGATTATTTTTACTTAAGTTCAAAGCCATTTGTAAATACTAACTCAGAGAAACTTTTAAGTTGCATGTACCATCATTATCTTTAGTCTCTCAGGTAAGCAAGATTTCAATTATTAGTCTAAAAGCCAAGGTAGTTTATGTTAATTGAAGATCTGTGTGTCTTTAAAATGCCTGAGTAGTTGACTATTATGGCTAAAATGTCGCGGTAACATCTCATATGTTAGTAGATCTATGCACGAACGCAAGACGCCTGAATGTCAGCATGTCAGCTATTGAAGGTACAGACAGCAAAAAACATCTTAAGTGCCCGCCCGCACAAGCGATATTTCACAGCGAGGTTTTTCTTCCCGCAGTAATAAATCGACACCTTAGTGTTCAATTTGCATCAAATCACAGATTTTTTTGTTTCAATTTTCGTCCAAAATAGATCCCGTGCCACAGAATTTTGCGAATAACAAACGTGCTGTGAAATATCGCTGTGCGGACAAGCCCTAACTTATTTAAATTTAGTAATCATTCGTTAATAAAATTCAACATAATGAAAATTACGTTACAAATTTACATATCGTTATCAGTTTTAAGAAAAATACCAATAGATAAGTAGTAAGTCGAAATAGATTCAAATATATATCAAGTGAATTGCAAAAGTTATAAATCCATACGACAAAATGAAAGAAAGATAATTTAAAATGAACACATCAAATTAAATCGATCTAAGTGGCGTGCAATGGGAGAGGCCTATGTCCAGCAGTGGACTGCGATAGACTGATGATGATGACATCAAATAAATGAAAATCGACAGTGGGCGTTTCTCTAGGTGTCTGGTTAAAACAAGGGTAATTGTTTTTTCAAGACAGTTATATCAACTTTTTTGCAGTACGTTGTAAGCAAACAAATGTGCGGTCCACTTAATGTTAAGACATAAGTGTAGCCTATGGATGCTTGCAATTCCTGGGGACTCGCATGCGCGTTGCCAACCTTTTAAAAACCTGTTCCTATGATTTCCTCATACTGCAGTCTTGCTACTTCTTATCAACATTAATGTTACAAAAATATTATTACGAATTCGATTATTACATTTAATTTAAACGTGGAATTCTTGTTTTTCCTAAAAATAATTCATTATTAATCGTAGCCTGAATCATGTATTAAAATTTAAATTGTTTATGGCTTAAGCGACTATCCTTACTTTCAGGTGTGCTCCACCTTAGATGGCATTTATTTAAACACCACAGATATTTAATTAATACTTGGATATGATATATGTTATGAAAAGACAGTGGGAAAAAGGGAAATGTAATGTCATAACAGAAACAGCAAGAACAATTTTGAGAGTTGATCTAGGCCAGAGGTGTTGAGCGCTCCCGTTGCTATCGTTACATTTGATCCAATTGAGCGTCTCTCGGTGAACAGTGAGCGGACGGTCTACGGTCTAACGTGGCCGACGCGACCGCGGCGTCCGATGCACGCTGCACTCAGGGGCGGGGTCTCAATGCGTTTTGACCAATGATTTCGCTCCGTTCAAGCAAAACTAATTATACTGATTTATGCTCCCATTGTTCATTGTTTTATGTCTTTCTCTTAGTGTACACTTACAAACCCATATTCGTATGTAGATAAGTGAGTAACTTGATATATCGCGTTTTGTTGCCTTTTTATGTTTTCGTGACTCGCCCGGTTGTGAGTTACGGTTGTAATTAGCCGTTTATTTTCATGGATACAGAGACCTTTGATAGAGGACACTACTTTTGTTAGAGGCACTCGGGAAATTGTTTTTTAATGTAGAATATATTTTGCAACACGCGTAATTTGATATGATTATCCCTTACTGCGCAATAATGTTAAACATTATAGTAAATAACATGAAGCAACACTTCGATCGTATTGCAGTGATAATAATCACTAACAAGGTGCCAGCTCAGCTTAACCTCTGTTAAATTTAGACAACTAGCAACTATTGTTGTTCCTTGTTCCAAAGGTTATCTGAAATCAAAACGTTCCAAAAACGTAATCTACAGATCTGCTTTCAATCGATTCGAGGAGAAAATTCGATCGCTATTCGAACGACATTTAAAAAATGCCAACATATGTAGTTAATACATAAAAAGAAACACCGACGAACAGTTACAATGAGACCATGAGCTGAGCTGTAACGAAAATCGCACGCGATGTCACCACCCATTGTACATCAATATTTTACTAACCATATTCCAGTCCAGGTAGGAGTCAAGAGAAACAGAGCAGCAAATGGTGTCGTCCGGCGCGGCAGCTGCGGCGCGTCGCATTCACCTGTCTCGAGTGCGCGCGCGCACGTGGGCGGGGCCTGCGCGGAATGCACGGTTTTCGCGCTTTTTTCCATTTGCCCCGTCAACCGCCACCGGAATTCGGGTGCGATATTTTCTTTGGTTGGAATCCAAAGGCTTTACCGGGACTTGATATATTTATTCCTCTTTGGTTCGTTGTCTTTAAGATTTATGAGAGTCGATCTTTTTATGCGATTTATTGGAGTTTTAATTCAGGTAACGAAACGTTTGATTTATAGTTATGAATTTTAGATTTTGACTTAACCTTCTAAATTACATAGTTTTGTTTTTAAAATTATGTCTTTTGGTCAACTAGAAATGAGTGGACTTGACTTTGTACGTATGTATGTGTAATAGCACTTTCGAATTGCCGTAATACGATGCACTTAAAAAGTATGGACGAACATCAAGTCGTCCACAAGATTTATTTTTAATGAGCTTGATATAACGTACAATTTAATATGTCATCAATAATTGATATCACAGATAAAGTTAATCCTAGGCGTACCCCAAGGTTCAATAATGGGACCAACCTAATTTATATTAAATATACTTGTTCTAAAATATAATAACCAAACAAGGTTCTACATATTGTAACTATTATAAGCCACTAAAACAATCACACGAAAAATCTAACACTAAAGAGAATTCATCATTTTCATTAACAATTCGTGTGTATTTAACGTAACCGTCTAATCGCGTGCGATAAACCAAGTGGGTCATGGTGGGCTATCAGTCAAAAAATAAACAACAATAATACATAGAAATCTATGGGGAACGGGGCGAGGTTGAGTGGCTTCCGTCGACACAAGATTGATCGACCGATCGCAATTATGAAAAATGATTTTGTGATAGTGGGGACGACCTGGCTGGTTCGCGGCCGGCTGTTTGACTCTTTAATGCACTTACTGGACATGTTCAAGTTTTGCATGTGTAGTGAAACGTAGTATTGTGTTGGCCATTTACGAAAGAAAAGAAAAGACAAGACTAAAATACAGAGAATTATAATGTGTGTTGTTTCTCCTAATATATGGTATATATAGTTATTTTAGATTAGAAGGAAGAAAAAGATGTAGCTATAAGCTGTTCCTATTAGCATCTGTTTTTCGTTTATTTGCAAAATAACAAATTAACGATTTTTAAATGTCAAAACCGCTTAGCAGTGACATGAATTGCTTTATCGTTAACGTTAATAACGTTACGTAACGTTAAATAAATAAGTAAAAAAGCCTGACTAAGTTTCTTGAATCTTCTTCTTAGTCAGTTGTCAGTTGGAAATCACAGTAGAAGCACTAAAAAAGATGACTCAAAATAGTCACAGACTAAAGATTTGTTGTTTTTGGGTTATTTTACAATCGTCGTACGTCTCTGGCAACCTCTTCAAGGATATAGTCATGAACATGGTTCACTGTGCTTTCATTTATTTTGAGTGGTTTAAATATAAATTGTCGTTTCTTAGGTCCTACTTCTAAGTTATCTGTTCACATCATCACATCAACAGCCTTTACTAGTCCACTGCTGGACATAGGCCTCTCCTTAGAAAGGAGGTTTTGGCCTACTATACCACGCTGGAAAGACGGGTTGGTATAGGGTTTGTTTCAAGTTTTCCTTCTCTCTGCAGTGCTGTTGTCCTGCGTAGTTTGTACCCTTAGTCGGCTCTTACGACACCCAAGGGATGAATAGGGGTGGTGACACTTTGTATTCTTAATCCGTCACATCACGGTACGTTATCAGTTATTGCCTTATATTTTAATCAACACGTATTTCCGGCTCCTTGCGACGTTTGATTTTATCGTGATATTGATTGATGGCATATTACTACGTACTTACTAGCTTTTCACCTGTGAGTCTGATCGTGTAATTTTTTTGTCTATCTCTGTAAATCCCTCCCTCCCCTAGTCTCCCTGTGGAGTACTGGAGGGCCAGTAATGTTAGTTTGTACGCTTACTTAGATTTTTTTACGGATTCTAGACGTATTCGTGTAGCTGTAGTTTTTTTTAACTTAGTAATATTTAAGATCTCTCAATAAAAATTAAAAAAATATCGTCCTATATTTAAAAAATCATGCATGACTTGCTGTTAGTAATGCTTTTATGTACATTATACTGTATATGTATGTGCGAAACGTTAATATTTCGTTAATATTTTATTTAAAAAAAAACAGAACTATAACGTCTGATAGAAAGAGTATTTGATATAAGGTCAAAGATAACAAACAAACTGGTTTTATTTGCACTTGAAAAGTTAAAATAAAATACTTTTTTAGGGATGGAACTCTAAGAACTGTACTAAATATCTACTAAAGAAATAAGCTCTAAACTTATTAGAATAATTTACAAGAAACAGCACAGTCCCAATTATTCTATGTTGAAATAAGTGTTGTTCAATTAATAATGTGCTAAATTAATATTTGTTAAGGTAGAGAACCCAAAAAAACTTGTTCAGCTTGAAGTATGCTTGAATCCAACCAAGAGCCTACCACTATTTACAGTTGCCCCATGCTTGATCTATTAACACCCCCCAAATCTAAACTGAGGGAATCAATAACAGACATAAAACCAGTAAACAGTCTCTCTAACTAAAACAAACTTAGCACTCGAACCCCTATTAGAATAGCCGGACAAATTCTAAGGCAAATACTAAAATATGCTTTCTATATAAATCCGAGTGTGTGAAATCCTTCGGCGGTCAGGGCGTCCAATTTCGGATTCGATCACATTACCATAACGCGAGTGCAGGAGTGTGCGATGCACTGGACGACAGTCGGACATACGGCTTGAAAACATACCCAACTTTATGTTAAAGTGCGTTTTTTCGGTATTTTTGTTAAGTTTATAAATTATAGTTATACACCATAATTTAGATCCACTATAATTTATATTTGTTGGTATTCAGTTTAGAAGCCATTAAATATAAAAGTAACTATTTGATTCGCACTAAACTTAAAAGTTTTGCGATTCTGTGGTATTGAAAGTGGTATCATTTTATATAATAATCTTAATAAAATATTAGGTTGACTACAAGAAGTCAAATCATAGTATACGAACTGCATAAATGTACACAACTGTATTTCATTACAACAATTACAGATAACTCTAAGTTAATCTTGGACGGGTGTACATTGTTAGTTAGTTAGTCAATTGGTTCCAAGTTCAGATAAAATAAAACCTTTTACGCAAATTTTTCAAAGGTTTTGCTCGTTTACAGGGGTTAACGGCTTTCATAAAAAAATGTTATCATATTTGACTAATTTAATATGTTAATTGCAAGAAGTATGTATGATATACTTTGTTTTGATAAAAATCAATAGATAACTAAACTGTAATTAAGTGAATGTAGATTATTAATTTTATTACCCGTCTATAGGGATTAGTGTTGCAATAAGTAAATGACACCATTCTCGTGGTATTCTATTTATAGATGACGATAATCGCTTATCATTTCACCGTCTGATTATTTTTAACGAGTACTTTAAACATGTACCGAGAACAAATAGCAATACTCCAAAATGAATCATTCAACTTATTTTTGACATGCCTGCGCCGATCAAATTTGTCGAGTTTTACGTATTTTTAGCTTTAAAGATTTTGGCGTTTGAGGTATCGCTGGTTTCTCTTATCTGTGAGAATGAATTGGTTTTATAAAAATTACTTAAATTAAAATCGCCGGCCAGAAAAGCTATATATTAACAATAATTGTTGGCCGCACTCTGCGTCCGTATGTCACTGCAGACACGCAGACTATCTTATGTAGTATTTAGATGCACATTAAGAGTCATCTTTAACCAAGGAATGTTCTGATCGGGGTCCATTTCCATACCACTTGGTGGGACACTTGTCTACCTAGACTTGCGTATGATATTGAGACTATTGAGAATAGATAGAGCCTTATTACAATGTGCTGACTAGATTTTGTTAGGGATTCTCTTATTTTTCCTTTTTAAAGACATCATCCTTACTATAAAAATAATATGGTATTTTATATGTAACTGTCCGTGTGGTGACGGATTTAGAATACAGAGTGTCACCAACCCTATTCATCCCGTGGGTGTCGTAAGAGTCGACTAAAGAAGGAAACTACGCAGGACAACAGCACTGCAGAGAAGGAAAACTTGAAACAAACCCTATACCAATCCGTCTGGCCAGCGTGTTATGGTAGGCCAAAACCTTCTTTCTAAGGAGAGGCCAACAGTGGATCTTGATGTAATGTAACCATCTGTACCCTGCCACGCTTCGATGTAGCACATTGCCGGTGCATTGATGAGAAATAAGGAAACAAACTGACGCAAAAAATAGATAAAAATAATGTTTGAAGCGGTTTGTATATCGTGTCAAAACTTGAGCTCAATCGGTGCAGAACTTTTAGAGTTTTTGAAGCGTTTTTGAAGTCGTACACAAACCAACTTAACATTTTTTTTTAAATATACATATTTTGTATGTCGAAACAGTTTTATTCCTCGAAAATCTCGATAGTTGTAATTTTGTGCCTGCAGTACTAATGTATTTCGTAAGTACACTACATATGCGAGTAATATGTATATACACTTTGTATACTAAAATGATGATGTGATGTGACGTAGGCAATTTGTCTGCGTCACCAGACGTCATTCATTAAGTAACTACATGTCCTAACAGGACACTAACAGGGTCCAAAATTACTTCGGTAAATTTTAATTCAGTTACGTATAAAACATATTGAGAAAATATTATTTATGCATAGTAAATACCGTTGGTCTTTATTTCTAATTAACAAATACCTTTCGTCTCAATAGTCACAAATTGATATGAAAACTGTAGAGGATATTTTAGTGATATTTATTCCTAAATACACAAGAATAAACTCGAAAACCGTGTGAATGCAATAAAGATTTTCAACTAGAGATGAATTAGAAAGAGCAAGAACTGATTCCCAATCAATTAAAGCAAACCAAAGCAAACGAACAAAACCGACATTAACTAGTCCATTAACCCTAAAACGCCAGTAATTATAAAGGTGGCGGACGCGAAAACAAAAGGCGAGGACGAGGCTAACCTGTTAAGAATGCACTGACTCCGAG